ATTCCCCCACTGAAAACAGAGAAAGTGGGTTCCGCTCAGAACCTCAGTCTCCCATGAAGCAGTCCCCAACAGTGGAAGCCTCACTTTGAGCCCCCAAAGACTTGGATTTCTGGGTCTGCAAAGCTGAGTTGCGGGCCCAGGCACTGGTCACTGCCCCGAGACAGACAGCTCTTCTCAACTTTGCCCATGAGCCCTGACAGGCTTTCTCAAAGAGCTTTCCCATGCTGAGGGCCTAGACGAGTGAGCGGGGGCCCCTGAGCTGGCCGGGGTGGATATCCTGTGGGAGCAGGAGGCTCTGTATTGGGGCTAGGCTGTGCGACGGGTGTCCTGGCACAGAGTCAGGGGCTCTGAGGCTTGCTGGGACAGCTGGTGATGACTAAGGACGTCCTGGAAGGGGGACTGTGTGGCCAGGATGGGAGTTGACTTTGCTCCTCCGTGCTGGTGTTTGTGGCCAGTCTTCTGTGAGATTCTAGTGGAAAGGGGTCTGTTTTTGGAGGGCAGGGCTGGTCAGTCTTACTGACCCACCAGGTCCATGGCAGACCATGTGTTGAGGGAGTGAATGGAAAAGCGGGGAGTGACGGGACACCCGGAGCCACCACCTCCACCCCCCTAGGATGGCTCTGTGGGTGACTCATGTCCTGCTGTCCACTCACTCTCTCAGCCTACAGCCACATGTCCAGGGGTGGTGGCAGGGAGCCAACCCCACCCTCTTCTGCTGCAGTACTGTCATTACACAAGGCTCTTGGGCTTCCAGCAGATTCCCTGTCTTCCCTGCTTTCGTGGTATGAGCCAAAAAGCTGGGCCTTGAAGACGGGGGTCTCGTTTTAAGTCTCCAGAGAGGTCATTCTGAAGAAGTGGCCAAGAACACAGGGCTGGCTCAGAGGGGAACCAGAGACATAGGGACTGTTTTGAGTTCTGAGAGCTGTGCTTCTGACTCCTGCCACCCACACTCTTCAGTTCTGGGTACCATGCCACATTGCTCCCATGTGCGTGACCTCAAAACCAAAGGGAAGAGCCCAGGTGATGAGCTGTCACGGGGAGGCACATAACGTCTGGAGTGGGTTGTGTTGGTGGAGGGACAGACCAGCTTGCCTGGCACAACCGAAATCCAGGTCTTTATTGCTGTGAGATGCTGGCCTGAAACCACTGCAACCACTGAGTCTCTGTGCCGAAGCTGGGTTGTCTGGCTGCTTTAGAGCGCCTTCCTCTTACACTCGCTCCTTCTGGAACTTTCTGTGGACCTTGTTGGGGGAAGAGCCATGGGTACTGGGTGTCCAGTGCTGTTTGATGGGGAGTGAGGGAAAGTTTGAAGACAGAGGCTGGTCATATCCAGAGCAGGTGGGAAAGGGTGGCAGTGATGGTGATATGTAGTCCCTGAGGCATTATTTTGAACCTATTGCCTGTAGGAATCGACCGCAGGTGGGCGCAAGATGGATTTCCTTTCTTAAGAAGTCTCAAGAAAACAGAGTTTTTCCATAAACTTAAGACATAGTTAGGCCACTTGTCAACTTTATTTCTGGAGAGGACATGTGCCCTAGCTTCCCGCCTCTTCTCACCCCGGGGAAACTGGGTACAATCGTGGAGTCAGGTCTCCTGGAAACGCCTTTTTCTATCCCAGCAGGGTTTGAGGATGCTTAAAATACAGGCTGTAAAACCAACCCAAGTTAATAAAAATAAGGAGGAAAGAAGGGGAAGTAAATGTGTTAAATGCAAATGAGAGTTAACACCTAAGGGCATCACACTTGCCTGGCACTTATGACAGCCAGGGAAAAGGCACTCAGATGGCTGAACTTCCCTAGGTCCCTCACTGGTCTAACTGCTGCTTCACTGTCTGTGCCTGTTTCTGCACCTGTAAATTAAGGTGAGAGCACATTATCAGGGGTGCACTGAGAGCGTCATAGGTACAAAGCGCCTTGAAACTGTGCCTGGCAGTCACTACCGCCTTGCTTGTTGGGGCTGTAGCCAGGCGCAGGGCAGGGAAGGTAGTGCGGAGGCGGTTCTCCCTGCTCCAAGGCTCCTCCCTGGGTGTTATCCCCCCTGCTCCCACCCAAGTCCTTATGGATGGCCTCTGAAATGGCTTCTGATCCCGGTCTGGCTCCACCGTGTCCCTGTCCCCACCACAGTGCTCCCTCTTCATGGACTATCTTCAGGACGCTGGCCTCATGCTTATCTAGTGCTGACCTCAGATCTGTGGCCTGCAAGTCTCTCTGAGCTCTGCACAGTGATGCTGCCTCCTGTGTTTGGCCACCCCGTGGGCCTGCAGGGGCCAGCCTGTCTTCTTCCCCAGCTCTCAGCAACTCAGCTGCCCCACCGATTTCAGGAGGGATGGCTGTCTCCAGGAAACTCCCAACCAAGGTGCCCACCCAGCTTGTTCAGCTGCACATAGCAGGCTGTCCTGTTCTGTTATGAGGATGGGGGTGGGTGAGGGACTCTTAGACTCATGGGCTCAGTGGCACTGACTCACCAAAGACCCCGTGGGCAGTCATGGTCTGAACCAGTGAGCCGTTCACATGTACTGTGCCACCAACCCCCACAGAGGCAGCAGGCCCGTTTTGTGACCCTCCGGTCTCTACCAGGAATGAGAGAAGCCTGAAAGCTTGGTCCAGACAAGCAGCTCTGACACTGGACACACACTGCATTTTAAACATGGGCTGTGCACAGTACGCCTTCAGCAGTTGCTGGATAAAGAGAGATGGAGCACTGAAATGGCTCCAGTCACGCTGGTCACCCCGTAGGGCTTTATGTACACAGACTGACCGAGCGCTTGCCACAGCCTTGTGAGGTAGGGACTTCACACATTGAGGAAGAGAAGCAGTTTGCCGTGATCACATGACAGGTGTGACAAAGCAGGTGGTCTGGCTTTAAGGTCTCAGTGCTTAACCACTAGAAAACACAGCCTAGCTAGTCTTAGAGGGTGTGCTCACAGAAGTTCTTGGAGAAACACACTCTTAGGGGCTGTGCTCTTCCCCTCATTCAAAGGGAAGGTCACAGCCAGCACCACTGTGTCAACTGGCAGTGGTCCTCACACCTTCTCTTTCTTCCCTTTCAAGGCACTGTAACCTCTCTCAGGTGGAACCCAACTCCCCACCCCGGGGCAGGATGAAGCATCCTGACCAAGGTCAGGCCAGGTCTCTACCGCCCCCCAGGGAGGTGGCCAGGACCCACCCCCAGCCTGGACTTCCCCTTTAGCCTGGTTTAGGCACTCTGAGACATCCAGGAGGAAAGGGACAATCATGCTTGAACCCAAATAATTAATTTGTAACACAAGGGGATTCCCAAGGAATGTCCCAACCCTCCCATCCATGGGCCTGACTGCGCTCACCTGGATATTTGCACAGCTGTCCCACCGCCTTGCACAGGCTGTTCAGCCAGTGCTTACCAGCTCAAAGAACGAGTACCACAGTCAGGCAAGGGTACGCCCTTGGACAGGGTGAGAAAACACACCAGAAAAAGTTCTTGCAATTTCCCTAAAAAAAAAACTTTGAGTCATTTTAAATAGTGGAACTCTTAAGGACATTTAACAAGTTAGCCCTCTTACTCAAGTTTTTCATAACCTCGGAATAAAGTTAGGGTGGAGGAAGGGGTACATTCAAAGGCACCAGAATTACATCCAAATTGCACTCCAGGGTCAGTGCTCTGGGGCACGCATTTCTTCTGACATGACCTTGGGATCCAGAACTTTGTAAATTACCCATAGAACTCCACTGTAGGTAGGTTAGAGGAGGCTCAGTCTCCACAGAAGACTCACATGGCAAGGACTTACAGGTTTACAACACCTTGGTTTCTGCTAGTCCATGCTCCGCAGCTAGAGACAGCTGGGGTGGGGAGGAGCAGGAAGAGGCGGGCTCCAGAACATTCTAAGCATGGTGGGGTTTTGTTTGGAATTCTTTAATCTCACTACAACCCTGACAGGAAACCAGACTGTAATTCCCTGTGGCCTGATCAGTTTGTCTTGATCTCAAGCTGTATAATGAAATGCCCCCAAATGTGCAGAGCAGATTTTATACGGAAATTGCATTACAGACCATGTAGGAACCAGAAAACAATTCACCTTTGGGGATGCAGAGAATACGCCCTTACATCCTCTGCACTCGAAAACAGGAATATTCACGAAAAGAGCTAAACAGGGAGTTAGCATTTACTGAATTGAATACCTTGAGCTCTAGTCTCTCTCTTACACACACACACACACACACACACACACACACACGCGCGCGCGCGCGCGCGCGCGGAATGAATTCCCGCTAACCATTCACTTTCGGGAGAGCGCAGTCGGAGCTCTAGGACTCGCTCGAAGTGACGCACTGCAGAGACCAGGAGCCAGGACGACTCGGAATTGGTGTCCTCCCCCCGCCCCCTCCCCGCGCACCGCCGTGGCGCAGGCATCGCAGGCGTCCGGGGAAGGGGGCGGCGGTGACCTGGAGCGTCCGCGTCCTGGGTCACCACGCCCTCCCGGGAACGGCTTAGTTCTCGTGACTGTCCACTCTACCTCCATCTGGTGCGCGCCTGCGGGAGCGAGGCCGTCGTGTGAGCCCCTCCCCCCGCCGGCTCAGGGTAGCGCCCGTCAGGGTATCGCTGGGGCGACAGCCTGCCGGGCCTGGACCCGCAGCCCCGGGCGCGAGCTCCCCGCAGCGTCACTAGCCGGGTGTGGCCTCCGGACGCTGCGGACTCCAGATGCGCTCCAAGTGTGGCTTAGAGCGCGGCTGGCTCCGTTATCGGGGGCCGTGGGAAGAACCAGGAACGACCGTGATCGCGGGTGCTATGACCTAGCCAACGACTCTCGCGGTCAGCGAGCGGCGCGGCCAGACCTAGAGGAAACGCCCAGGCGCGGTCATCTGTCTCCGGCCCACGTGACCAGCTACCCTGGGGGCGTGGCCGCCAGCGCTCGCCAGGCCAATGAGCGCCGCCATCGGGCTTGTCTGCCAGG